ATAACATGAGCTTTAACCAAAACTCTACATGAATCATGTGTTTCAAGCTCAAACATGCAAATTCAAAGTGATTTCTTACATGCATGAGTTCTAAGACTTCAAACTCAACAAAAGTCAACTCATTACATGTTCTTGATCACAAACAACCCTTGAACTTACAAGATCACAATTTCAAACTTATGAATTCAAGACCAAATGCTTACCTAGAGGCTCAATCTTCCAAACTATAGCAATTTCTTGAGTTTAATCCTCCAATTCTTCACACATTTGAGCCAAACGTCCAACTCTCCTCTTTTCCCTCTCTCTAGCCGACTCCCTTCTCTATTTCTTGAGTTTAATTCAGCCAAGAAGAATAACAAAGAGGGTATTTGAGTGTATAGTGCCCCACTAAGTCATAATATAATAATATAGAGTAATTGGGCACTAATTCATTAATTTAATCGATTTAATCTGACCCGAATCAATTTTCAATTAAACTTCACCGTAGGCCCTAAAAACTATGCCAATCAGAATGGCGTAATCAATTTCGGGTTCTGTGGCCGATAAGGCCTCCAATCTAATTTCCAAAGCAGATTATTCAACAGATATTCCCACGGTGAACAGATAGAACTTCAAAACCACATATTTTCACATAATGGAACACAAAATCATATCAAAACAGATAATCACATCATATTAAGGACCAATTAACATATTACGGAACAGGGGTATTACAGGATTGGTCCGCTCCTGTTGATCTAAAATTATTCGGCTCCCACAAGAAGATATTAGAGGCTTCCAACAATTGCTCGGTACTCTGATTTTAACATCAGAGATGGGCTTATCGGAATGGGAGTGAGCACAAGTTTGGCGTTAGTCATCTTATTTCAAGCCAATATATCCAAGATGCATCACCGTTGAGAGAGCAAGATGCTGTGCTGATTTGGTACTACTTCCACACCCAAGAAATATGCTAACGGACTGAGATCTTTGATTGAGAATCGATGAGCAAGAGCAGCAACAAAAGAGTCAACTAGTTGAGTATTGTCACCAGTGATGATTAAATCATCCACATATACAAGGAGGTAAATAATATGACCAGTAGTAGTGAGAACAAACAGAGAAGTGTCAGCATGAGAATTTTTGAAGCCTGACTGAAGAAGAAAAGTGAGAAGTTCATGATAACAGGCCCGGGGTGCTTGTTTGAGACCATAGATTGCCTTTCGAAGTCTGCAAACATAGGATGGATGATCTTGATCAACAAAGCTAGGTGGTTGTTACATGAAAATAGTTTTTGAGAGGTGTCCTTGAAAAAATGCATTGTTCACATCAAGTTGCTGTAATGGCTAACCTCGAGAAACAGCAAGGCTAAGAACAACCCACACTATTGTTAGTTTGACAACGAGACTGAAAGTGTCTAGATAATCAACCCCTGGGCATTGATGAAAACCCTTTGCTACCAAACGTGCCTTGAACCTGTCAATAGAGCCATCAGAGTTATGTTTAATATGAAAAATCCATTTACAACCCACTATATTCTGTTGGGAAGTAGGTGGTGCCAGGTCCCATGTGCCATTGCGCACTAAAGCATCATACTCAGCAGACATAGCCTGACACCGTTTAGGATCAATAAGTGCTTTAGTCACTGAGGTTGGTTCAAGTTCATTGAATTTTGTGAGTTGGGTGTTAAGATTCAATTTCTGGATAGGCTTATAAATGTGGTTCTTGGCTCGCGTGGTCGTAGAGTGAGTTGGAATGGGATTAGGTTCAGTTGGTTCAGGTTGTGATGAGGTTGGGTTAGTTATGGATTAGGTAGGAGTGGATGATGATGGCAGGTTGGTAGCGTCTGTTTGGGGGTCTGGTGGTGGATTGGGGGATGGAATTAGCACGACAGATGATGTGGAAGCGTCACATGGTAGTTGCTGAGGGACGACAACTTCAAATGGCGGTGGAAGTGGCGGTTGGGGATTAGGTGACACAACCCGAATATGTGGAGGTATCCAGGTGGTAATGGGGCTGGATGTAGGAGTGGGGGGCGTACTCGACAGTGAGGCATATGGAAATCCAACAAACATTGGCACCCCTTCAATCCTCAACACAATACCAACACTAACTAGCGTACACCATACCCTTCTGCCCAGCGTCCACCTACTACTACCAATGTAGGTTCCTCCACCCCATAAGACCCTCGACCTCCTCCCAGACCATATCTTGGTCACTGTCAGATTTGCAGACTCCAAGGCCATATAGCCAAGCGGTGCCCTTCCTTTTGGCTAGTCCCAGTCCAGATGTCTCCCACTTCCCATATATCTCCAACTACCACTCTATGGCAACCAGAAGCCCATTTTGCCACCAATCCTTCCACCAATCCATCATGGCTTCTAGATAGCGGTACATCTCACCATGTCATTTCTGACCTCAGTAACCTCTCGTTGCATACTCCTTACGTAGGCACTGATAATATCATGATCAGAGATGGCTCCAATCTTCCCATCACTTACACCAGTTCTACCTCTTTACATATCCCTCAGAATGCATTTATATTAGACAATGTTCTCTGTGTACCCTCTATGCAAAGAATCTAATTTCTATATCTCAGTTTTGCAACTCTAACAAAGTTTCCATAGAGTTGTTACTGTTGGGGCTGAATTATTAAATACTAAGGAAAGCCAAATTTATTAGAAGGAAATCAGGCTAAACAGGATTTGGCTCTATCCAAAGGGGTCTTGAGGTCAAATATACAAATCGGCCGTGCAATCGGCCATGCAAGGACCCGAGTAGGAACTGGCATACAACCAGAAGGCCGAACAAGCAATCATGCGCTGGATTAAGAGTGGGCCCGACCCCTGGGACCAGATATTAGTAGAAATAGAGGATTATCAACCGAAGAGAGGTATGTGAGAATAAATAAAATAACTTGAGAGCATACTAACTTGTCCGTCGGAGTATTAATTCTGGCACCCCCAACCGGAGTGTTTATCCCTTTTTCAGATGGTAATAAGAGGATCAAGAATGTCTTATTGAATCTTGGAGTATTTCCAAACCACTTCTCCACACTTACCAAATTCTTTTCTTGTGAAGGAACTTCGCACCGGGACAACGCCACTGAGAGAACACACTGAAGACCGTGTTTATGAGTGGCCAACATTCTCTCCATTGATTGTTTTTTCCACAATAAAGACCACCTCCTTCGACTGGCATCATAGACTAAGACATCTTGCCTTTTTAATTCTCAAACACATTGTTTCTAGCAATAACTTAAGATTATCTTCTTCCTTATCTCATGATTTTTCTTGTAATGCTTGTCTCTGCAATAAAAGCCACAAATTGTCATTTTCCAGCTCTACAATTGTCTTTACACAGCTCCTTGACATCATATTTTCAGATATTTGGACCTTTCCAATTTTATCAACCAATGGCTTTAAACACTATGTCATCTTCATTGATCATTTCACCAAATACATTTGGTTTTATCCAATTAAACACAAATCCGAAGTCAAGGAAGTTTTTATCAGATTCAAACCTATTATAGAAAATCATTTTCATTCATCCATTAAAACTCTGTACTCTGACAATGGTGGTGAGTACATCGCTCTAGCTAATTTCCTCTCCACCCCTGGTATCTCACATCTAACCACTCCAACCCATACACCTGAACACAACGGATACTCTGATGTTAAAATTGGGTAGCCCCTTAACTGATCCCACAGAGTACCAAGTAATTGTTAGCAGCCTCCAATATCTTCTGATTACAAGGCCTGACCTTGCCTTTGCTATTAACAAGCTCTCTCAGTATATGCACACACCAACGACTGTCCACTAGAATTTTGTTAAACGTCTACTACGGTATCTCTGTGGAACTATCAATGAAGGCCTATAACTACATCGCCAGTCACCATTAAATTTGCATGCCTTTTCTAATTATGTTCATTATGACTTCCAACAGGCTTTACAAGCCTTTTCTGGTGTAGATTAGGCAGGAGACAAGGGCGATTATTCTTCAACTAGTGCCTATTTCATCTACCTTGGTTGCAATCCTATCTCCTGGAGCTCTAAGAAGCAGCACACTGTTGCTCACTAGTCCACTGAAGTTGAATACAGGTCAATGGCTCATGCAACAGGAGAACTCAACTAGCTTTGTTATCTTCTCACTGATCTTGGCATACAACTCCCTTGCTGTCCGATTATATATTGTGACAATGTTGGTGCCACTCAGCTTTGTTCCAATCCCCTGTTTCACTCTAGAATAAAACATGTTGGAATTGATTTTCATTTCATTCGGGATCAAGTCCAAAATGGTGTCCTTCGTGTTGCTCATGTGTCTTTCGCAGACCAACTTGCTGATGCACTCACCAAACCTCTTCCACGTGCTCGTTTTCTTGATCTCAAATCCAAGATTGGACTTCTCTCTCGAGCTCTATCTTGAGGGGGCATATTAGAGGCTTATTATAACATGTTGTAATAGCCACTGACTTGGTCAAATCAAAGATCTCATTCAAACTTGTTATCATTAGTTTTAGGAATCAATTGTTATCACATTCTTGTATTATTATCCCTTTGTTTTAGGAATTAGTTGTTATCTCATTGTATTTAATTATTGTGAATGTTAATAGAAGATATACTTTTGAGCATTCCACTGTTATTTATTGTTTTAAAAAATATATTTATAAATAATAAATCAATCATAAATATTCATGTAAGAATTAATACAAAAAGGTATACTTGTTTGGTAATATTTATTTTAATGATTTTTTTATTTATATTTATAAAAAAATTTGAAAACTCTAAACAAAACTCTATTGATGTTCGACTTCGTTTTAAAAAAATTATAACAATTTAAAAAATTTATTGAATTCTCATAAGAAAAAACAAGAAAAATGTTTTTGTTCATCCTCCCTCTCTACCTATGACCATCGTTGGCTAATCCTACCTCCAACCTCCATTTGGCAAGTATAGTCATTTTATATCTACAGGTAATGGCGTTAACGAGTTTAGTGGTATTATTGTCATTTCATATGAAATCTTTCTAGATATATTTGAACCAAAGTGGGGTAAAGTGCTCTGACCTTAAACGACAACCCTTTATTTTAAAAGTAATGCTACGTTTCATAAAAAAATAACATGCAAAGTTTCATAAAGATTCTCCACCATTGAACTAGTTTGTAGTATTTTATTGTATATTATGCAATCACATACACTAATTTACAACCTATCAATCATAGAACACTACACAAAACTAAGTTTATACTATTTGCAAATTAAGATTTCAAAATTAAAATATAGTAAGCTGCTTTTCTTGTTTTGTTGCCTACCATACTAGATTATTTTTAAAAGTTTCATAAAACTTTTCTTGATATTTTTTTATGAAGCCTAACATTATGCAGATTGTTTGGGGTGATCTATTTTAGATAATCTTTTTTTTTTTATATCTTATTTTGGTCACATCACCTCTCTATCATTTTGCATATCTTTTTATAAAAAATTAGAGTAAATTACAAACACACTTCCTAATGTTTACTTAAATTACAAATTACCGATGTGGTTGTATAAATCATCAAGTTATTTAATAGTTTTTAATAATGTTAAAATTTTATTACAATTAATAATTCAGATAATTTTATTATTGTCTAGTGAATAGTTAGAAATTTTACTTTTTCAATTAATTTTGTTAAATAAAAAATTATAATAGGGAGGTATTTGTAAGTTTTCAAACCACAAAGGGCAATACTCAGGGGTGTATTTGTAATTTATCAAAAAAATTAAAAAAATTATTCCAATCAACCTCACATTTATTTTAAATAAAAGATAAGATCTTTTGTTTAGATTTTTCTTCGGTTGTCTCAAATTCTCTACATCACACCAGTTACATAAAATAAAGTAATTAATTAATTACGTGTTGGAGAACATAATTTAGGGCAGAAAAACCAAATGAATGGCGCAAAGATTTTATGTGAAGAAAACGATAAACAAAGCGTTAACATCAATCTTATCTCATCACTTTCCTCCATTCAACTCAACTCCTTCATCATTCTCAAACTCAATCATGTCCCATGATCAGCAAAACCAGCCGGGCATTGTATCTTCTTCGTCATTCTCAAACTCAATCATGGCCCATGATCAGCAAAACTAGCCTGGCATTGTATCTGAAAAATCTAGAAATTCCCTAGATATTGATTTGTGATTATGTATCAATTTTAAGCAGAATATAACAATCCCAATCAAACAATCAAGACAAATCAGCACAACGATTTTAACGCGGAAAAATCACAATTGGACACCTCCAACTGTGATTAAAAAATCACGGGCAATAGCCACAAAACAATCCACTAAGAAGATTTAAAGGAATTACACAGGTATACTCTCAATTACCTAGCGAATCTACGCCTAATTGAACCAACCTCTATGTGCCTCTTCCAACCCCGTCTTCACCTCGGAATTGTCTTTACGATGAGCCATTCCAGAATCCACCGAAGCTTTAGGCTCGAATTCTTCAGAATCCACCGAAGAACAACTCTCTCTCTCTCTCTCTCTCTTGTGTATAACAAACAAAACCTTTAATGTACTCTCTTTAAACCATGAGTTGAATACTCAATAAAATATCAAGAAAAACTAACAAAATATCCCTAGATATAAACCTTAAGTACCAAAAAGAAGATCTGGAGGAATTAAATAGTTTTGGGAGAAAACCAACTATTTATAGAAAATCCAAAAGTAATCCTAGTTTTGGAAGAAACCCAATTACTTATAGAAATCCAAAAGTAATCCTAGTTTTAGAAGAAAATCAACTACTTAAAAAAATCCTTGTCAAATGGGATTGCCAATAATAAAACCTAACAATCTCTCCCTTTGGCAATGCCGTGACAAAACACACCTAACAAATAAAATCTTAATCACCCCAACCCATTACAACCAACAAACACAAACTTCTTTCTCAAGATTAAGATCTGTAAAATAGCTATTAGTGCCACAATCTCCAAAACAACTATTAGTCCCACAAGAGTATATGAAAAAGTAATAGACATATGACACGGTTATCTTGAAACATGAGATGGAAAACATGAGATGAAAAACATGAATAGATGAAAACTAGGACTCATGAAAAACAACTCTCAAACAACAAAAGCAATATCATAAACCAACAAGCAATGATATGACAATGTAAATATCAGGAGCATGCAAAAAGGAAATAACAAGCAAACAGTGCATAGCAACATGCAAAACAACTAAAGCCCATCTCCCTTACAAA